CAAACTTCCAAATTCCATTTACTTCAGTGATTAGTTTTACTGATAACATGGAGATAAACTTTCTAATGTGTTAATCCAGTATAGGAATCTGAGAATTCAACAAGAGAAATAAATGTGAACCTGCAATGTTGTGACTGTCGCTAGACGGTCCGTCTCCGTACTGACTTACACTCATCTGAGCAGAGGTAACTCTTCAGTAACGAAGATAGAAACAGAGGTTCAGCTCCATACCACAGAGAAAGTTAAAGACATCTTGATAAGACAATAGCCCTCATTAATGGTGTGCTTTGTAAGACAGGTAATCTTGTCAGAGAGTCGTCATAAACATCAGACGTTCAGCTCCTCCGAAAGTGGATATCACTACTACAAAGCTAATTATTGCACATGAATTTGATATTGGGTAATTACTCACGCTCAAATCAAATTAATGGCGATTCAATCCATTGATTATACATCAGTGCCAGCTATCAAGGGGAAAACCTTATCAAAGAGTTGTCCTAAACATCAGATGGCTGGCTCCTCCAATAGTAGATAATTATTTATGAATATTCATCATCTCCATGTTAATATTTCAAAACAAAATAAGACCATTTACAGACAAAATTTAAAATAGCAATGGTGCTGATTTAGACTACCTCTTCATCTAAACTTTGTATTCATTGTACTAAAGAAGTTGTATATCCGTAGAATTATCTCTCTTGTCCTCATCAGGAGCTGCAAGACTGAAAACATCAACCTCAGCAAAATATGAAAACCATTTGAATCCATAGGGATGAAGTATATTCTTGATTGCTACTTTAGAATTCAATAAATAAATTCAGGTAAAGCCACTCTAGCTTGTAAATGTCATTGACAAAAATATCCATACTGATGTTAATTGATGATGTTAATTGATGATGGTAATTAAGATGAGCTGACTGGAGAAATCAGAGGGGACAGCAGCTTGTGTGACAGTGGTGTGTTTGTGTTGCACAGGTTGGAAGGCAACGATGACACTCACAAAATATTTAGTCTGAAGGGAAGATTTGTCTGACTGGATATATATTCACAATATTTAATAAAATGTTAAACTGGCATGTGAAGGCTTTGCAATTCTCATGAAAACCTATATATGTCACAAAATATTAGCATTTAACAACACATGGTTCAGGGTATTCCCAGACAATAATATTGGAACAACTTTAGAAACGTGTGTAATTGTGTGGTGAAGGATAGATATTCATAGATGGTTTTTTTCTTTTTTTATTCTTTGGAATAAGTGAGATTATATTATTCCAGACAATCCATATGCCAAATTCCTGTCAGCTATGGAGTATTGCACTTTTAGTTAGAATATCCACCATGTGAGTCAGAACCATTTAATTTAATTTAAACTTTAGGAAAAACATGGAACATGGAAAAAGTCCCTTCACATGTTAATGTTATATCTAATGTCAGAGCTTGGATGGGGAGACTTGTATTTCAATGATAACAGGACCAATAAAGAGAACAAGGCTTTAATGCTTAGTCTGAAATAATTGCATTGAATGCACTGTTAAAATTCAATGTTAAATTCCCATTATAAAAAGGAAATAAGAAGTTAGAAAAGTGTAATTCTAACCAGATATGAAATAACTGATTGGCTGAAAAAAATAGATAAATGCTAAATTTTCACATGTGAGATGTTATGTAATCTTCTGTTGATGTATCAGTAACATTTGGAAACAAATGTGTTTTCATTACGATGTGATTAAATCACAGAGTACTCCTGATCTTCTTATAATGTGTTAATCCAGTTGACAAAATTGAGACTTCAACAAGAGAAATAAAAGTGAACCTGCAATGTTGTGACTGTCGCTAGACGGTCCGTCTCCGTACTGACTTACACTCATCTGAGCAGAGGTAACTCTTCAGTAACGAAGATAGAAACAGAAGCTTAGCTCCATACCACAGAGAAAGTTAAAGACATCTTGATGAGACAATAGCCCTCATTAAAGGTGTGCTTTGTAAGACAGGTAATCTTGTCAGAGAGTCGTCATAAACATCAGACGATCGGCTCCTACGAAAGTGGAATTGAGTTGATTCAGTTTAATCTTGTTATCAAAATACTTTTCTTAAAGAACCATTTTTTAATGAAAGCAGTTCTAAAGTATCATGCAGATTGATATTACTGAATGTGTAAAGATCCCCTTTAAGAAAAATACATTTTCAAAATGTGCCAAAAAGTTTTCTTTTTATGGAGAACAAACATCTTTGGAATTATTAATCATACACTGCTTTGAAACACATAATCCAGTCTGACAACACAGTCCTTGCATGCCTCAACAAAGATAACAAACTGGTGTTTAATGAAGTCCAACCTCATCTTTGAATTGTAAATGCCAATGGCAGAAATGTAATTAATGATGTTAATTGATGATGGTAATTAAGATGAGCTGACTGGAGAAATCAGAGAGGACAGCAGCTTGTGTGACAGTGGTGTGTTTGTTTTGCACAGGTTGGAAGGCAACCATGACACTCACTAAATATTTAGTCTGAAAGGAAGATTTGTCTGTCTGGATATATATTCACAATATTTAATATAATGTTTATACTGGCATGTGCAACTTCTGCAATCCTCATGAAAAACTTCATTTCTGTTTCAATGCTATACATCCTCAACAATTAAATGTTGGCTTTTCATGACAATCATACAGTGATTCAGATTACAACTTAATTATCAAAAAAATAATCTTATTATTATTCGGGTTATAGGGATTGCATTTGTATTGATTTCCATAACTGAAATCACATATCTTGTCTACTTAATGCAGCTAGGATGTGGCATGAACAAGTAAATGAAATTTTTTAAAATCTAATTTCTAAAATCACAGATTTCATCGGGATTTGGTCTCCAATGTGTTAATCCAGCTGATAAAACTGAGACTTCAACAAGAGAAATAAATGTGATCCTGCAATGTTGTGACTGTCGCTAGACGGTCCGTCTCCGTACTGACTTACACTCCTCTGAGCAGAGGTAACTCTTCAGTAACGAAGATAGAAACAGAAGCTTAGCTCCATACCACAGAGAAAGTTAAAGACATCTTGATGAGACAATAGCCCTCATTAAAGGTGTGCTTTGTAAGACAGGTAATCTTGTCAGAGAGTCGTCATAAACATCAGACGATCGGCTCCTCCGAAAGTGGATATCAATTCTAGATATCTAATTATTACACATAAAATTTGATATTGGGTAATTACTCATGCTTAATTTCAATCAATGCCAATTAAATCAATTAACAGAAATCAGTGCCAGCTACCTACTTGAAACCTCTTGGTATAAAAATATGCTGTGGAACTTGTCAACCTTATTTTAATTTTTAATTTCTTTGATAATATTTTTATTAATAATCACAATTACACCAGCTGTAACTTGGTGTAATCCAATGTTGGTAAATGTAATGTGAAAGTAACAAATGGAAATGAACAGAACATTTAACCAATTCAGTTTGGACATCAGTCAGTCATCTTGTAGGACATCATGTCATTTCTTGTTTACTGGATATAAGCTTGCCTCACATTTCCAATATAAAGCAAGATTTCACTAAACATATGGTAATTTGCCTGCTTCGAGGAACTAATATTCAAACAGAGACCATAAAATGGATATTTTGCTTTAAGGCAAACATGTAACTTTTAAATATTAAATTGATTTCCACATATCACCTGTAGCTTTACATTCCCATTTTCCCATCATGGCTGACCAAGTCATGTTGACAACACTGCTTTTATGAGGAAGACAATTTATGGACATCAACTTCTTTATTATGAGGAACACTACGTTTCGGAGTATATACTTACTCCTTCATCAGGTGATATCAGATGATGAATGAGTAAGCATATACTCAAAAACGTTTTGTTTCTCATAATAAAAAAGTTGACATCCATAAATTCTCTTCCTTATGTGTATCACTTCTAAATGCCTTTCAAAGACTTGACTGTTTTTATGAATTATTTATTGATTTCTGTCTACATACATCCTGAGAAAATGTGTAAAAATAGTATTTTGTTCTGGTGAGGTTTACGACTTTAGACACTAGTCTGAAGCCTTGTAAAAGGACTAACCAGTGAACTCGGCTATAATCCTCCATAGGTTAACATCACAAATTATCACAAATGTGCCAACAGAGAGATAGACTCGAATGTCCTTGGCACAGGCTAGGGTGCAATGAGATGTTTAGCCCTGGTATCTACCGTGTGTGATGTGACGTGTACACTTGTTCTGGTGCTACAAGCTGTGATGGAGGCAGGATAGTTGACAGTGTTTACAATGAACTGTGTGTCCATCACTGCAACATTAGTCATATACATCGTCATTAGCAGTGATGAACCAAATGAAGATTCTGAATAAACAAAATGCAAACCAATTTCATTACGTAACGTAAGCTATCTCGGGATCACAACAATCTTTCTGCTGTATTCTCAGGGGAAATCATATTGATAAAGTTTCATAATTCCATCTAAACAAATTAAATCTTGTGTTGTGCTGATATATCTTAACTTGCAAAGGCATTAGTATGATAATAAATGTACCTTGATTGAAATTACAAACAAAGATGTGTGGAAAGGGTCTATGAAAACTGCTTATTAATTTTACCTGCATGTGATGTTGAATTATTTTATTTCAATACATTTCTTCAAAGCATGAACTCAATTTTTATACCAAAGTCAATGATAGGTTTAAGACATACACATATGCTTACAAAAAATATTTTATTAAATTATTGCTTTTAAAGAAAGAGCCAAATAAATGAGATTACATAGAGCAAATCACAACATTAGAATAATTATGCAATTTATATTTTATTTTCCCAACAGGAGTAGTCATGTTTTGCACACATGTAAACACATAGCGTTAGAGAAGCTAAACAACTGTCGGATGTGGGAGAGAGTGGCCACCACAATCAGACTGACCGACTCTCAGCCCCCTCATCCCCCCTGCCCCCATCCTCCCCCCACCCCACACTCAATCAATACCTCCACCATGACAATGTCACCTGGCCCAGCCAATGAGAGCGCAGGGATCCCCTCAACACCACCCAAATTTGAACAAAGAGGCGGGCTTCAGTTGTCTGACAGTTACAGCTGGTCACAATAGTCCGTCACACCTGACTGGTCGCACTATGGATGACTAGATGACGGAGGTAGAAAAGGGCTGCCCGTTGCTAGTGCTGGCAGTATATTGTAGAGATCACACAGTGTAGATTAGTCAATTGTAGCCTCATCTTGATCAAGAACTAGTTAGGCTTCCTTCTATACCTTCATCAAGATTATCAGGGTGGCTAAAGCTCTGATTTGATTGTGGTTGTGTGGGATTCAGTCTATCTGTGATCCTTTATTTCGTTGTGCTTGGACTGTTGGTGATCTTGGCTAGCGTGGCCTTGGTGTTGTGACAAGCCTGGTTTTAACGGTGTCCTTACATCCATGTTCGGCACCAGCCCGACTGAATTGTTGCCACTGACACAAATGTGCATTGCTTCCTGGATACTACCATCTGAAAAATGATTCTTGGAGCTGACAGAGCTGATTCCTGCAGTAAGTGCCAATTTGATTGTCTGTGTATGGATAATATTTCAAAAAGAGGTATTGTGAACTTGGTAGTATTTTATCAACATATTCATAATATTGTATTGAAAAATATATTTATACTAGTAAAAACATATTTTTTATGATTTGTAAAATTTAATTTAAGTCAAATAATCATATTATTCATAATTAATTTAATCATTATACTAATATTTAGCAAAATCTGAAATTAGCTGTTGCGCTTCCTGCTTGTGAAATGTAAGCCAAATTTTATGAAACTATAGAGAAAATATAAATTTCTTTAAAAAAAATATAGTTTGGAATATGTATAACACAAATATAGTTTGGAAATATGATATATGCATATGTTTCATTTTCAACATCTTAGAACAATATTGAAATCCTATGACCAATTAATTATACACACATGCCTATATTGTCAACCTTAAGATCATATTTATATACCTCCAAAGATGAGATACACTGAGCTTCCTCATTTAGATGACAGTTGTCCTTTTAACCCTGAGCAGGACAAAATCCCAGTCTCCACCCAGCGCTGATACAAGTACCTACAGAAATATTTTCTCACAAATTCTATACCCAAAAAATATAAATCAACTTTTGCTAATTTTCAGTCTGATATTTTTATGGTCAGTTGTTTAACACAGTGGAAGTGTGACCTCCACAAATCTCACCTGTCCCCCTTAACCCTTGAGCTGTCACCTTGTGATAGATGAACACTTGGGCAGGGAGTACGACATCTTATGACAACATGATTACAAGGCCTCACACTCTTATCTCCCTTCCACTGATATCCCTTTGAAAACCTCCACAATTTACAACCAGAATACAGCTCCATCATCAAAATAAAATTCCTAAAAAATGTTGGGACTGAGGACTGTAGATGCATAGGGTTAATGGTGATGTTTATGGGTTAATGGTGTACCCCATTCCATGAGGGTAGGGCTTACAGGAAAAGGATACCCCTACAGGCTAGGATGGCTGCGGAGCCTGAAGCTACCGATCTGGCTTAATTATATCATAGGATAACACAATTAACAGCAATTACCAGCAGGCACAGGTGGCTCGCATGTGTGGCATTGTCGTAAACATCTTAGAAATATATTTACCTAGCACTTGGTGACATAAAAAAAATATTTTAATCACTTTGATCAGTGGATGAAAGAATTGAATTATTTTATGCAATAGAATCATTTTCCAGTTTTGGGGGAATCATTTTAATTGTTACCTCAACATTTTAATATGGGACAGCACTTAAATAATGTTGGAACATTTGAGAACAGATTTTGATGTGACCTCTTCACCTGTGGTGGGAATTTTGAATCTCCTACAAATTTGGTTTTAAACACGGATGTTTATAAATATTCTGGTCACGAAGTGCCCTTGTGGCTGAAAAAGTCATTTATTTACCCCACCAGATCAGCCCTGAAAGTGGCTTCAGTCAGGCATGACACATGGGATTTTAAGCATATCCAAAACACTTATTATTCAAAAGCTAATCATCGAATCATCCAGACTTCATGAGGAAAAGTAATAAAATAGAAAACAAATCACCACATGTATTTTCTTTCATGAGATCCGTGACAAAAAGTAATTTGTGTTATAGGGAGGTCCTCCCACCATTGCTGTATAATGAGGCAGTTCCTTCAATGACTGGAAAATCCCTCTCTTTATCACCTGCTGGCTCAACCTTCTCACTTCCCAAGATAACCCAAAACACATTCCTCACCCTTTTTTGTCACTACTGTGCTGGACAGACTTATCTCCAATTTCATTTTGAATTTTAAACACCAAGGTCAACATGACCTTCAAATTAATATTTTCATAATAAGAAATCTACAAAAAGTAACAAACATAATTGCGTTTTGTTTTGTTTGAAATCAACTGTCAAGAAATGGACTAAATAACTAAATTGAAAATCTCTGCTTCCAAACTTTCTGATTTATGTTTTAATTAAAGTTTTATCATGTAGACTAGATAACAGGTCACAGTCGAGTTATCAAAGAGATTGTGGCTGGTATTTGCGTAAGATCAAATAGTGTTAGAGAGTAGGCCAGTAAACAGGCCGGCACTCAGGGGACTCAAGAGTATGGCATCGGTCATAACATGTTGGCACTAGTGATTGGACTTCAAACAACTGCATAATAGAGTTTCAATTAAAAATCATTGTAATTGCATAAGTCTGGTGGAGTAAACTTGAACTTAGATCCGAATCAGAGTCTGAAGATAAAGCAGTTTGGACACCATGTCTATTGGGGGTTGGGTGGTTTGATCATTACTGGCTGCTGTTTGACAAGGAATAGTTCACAAAGCCAATTGACCTGATTAAACGAGATCAAATAAAAGTCGTACCACAAAGCTGTAGATCGAAGACCAGCCTGACCGCCAAGATAATCATCTTCCTTTTGTAAGAGTCAGGGCTCCCAATAATGCCCAGTTCATTAGAAGGGTCCAGAGCTTAGAACAGGCGGCTAGGAGCCATAGGGGGTAGGGTCTGTATGGTCACCTTCCACAAAGTCCTTTAGGGCAATGTTTTTAAAGAATGTGTCAAATTGATAAAATCAATAGCTCAAAGAACACGGCTGTGAGAGGGCCAAGACATACACAGTAATAGGTTTACTTTAGTTCAAGGCGAATTTTAACACTGCAGCCATAAAAGATGCTGAATTTTTAAAGTTGGCTCATCCAGCCGTCGTGGCTCATGTTTTAAGCTGTTAATTACAGGGTAGGCCGTACAGCGTTGTTTATTGGTCTGTGCGTTGTTGTGAGGTGGGTTCCACACACCTGTGATCCCTCCTCCCATATCCTCAACCCAGGGTCAGACTTGCTAATTGTAGAGGATTAACCACACCACATTGATCTCAAAGAACTTCCACAGTTTTCAACATTTATGCTGCACAATTTGAATTGTTAATGAGAGAAACCGATAGAACTTACTGTGTGACAGTCTTTGCTTTCCACACTCGATCAATCTGACCATGTTTTGTATTGCTACTGGTGTGGGTCTCTTTTGTGTTAGTATGGTTAAATGATCCCTTTCTTGTGTCTTGTCTCCCACAAAGGTTTCATTCCAGGTGAACACATCTCAATAACCGCATGTTGTAGGGCAGTATATCAACTGAGACTGTTTATGTCAGTGGTTAGTGCAGGTGTATAGCTTTCACATGGCCTTTCTGTAATTACAACTTGGTAATAAGCTCATACTTTTTTATATATTTTTTTTTAAACAATTCAGTTTTTTAACTATTTTTCTTAACTACTTCAGCTTAATTCTAATTTCTTCAGTATTCCATTTTGGTTTATTACTTTTTACAACTTTGTTATTCAACTGGTAAATATAGCGTCATGGCCCGTAATGCCCCCTAGGGTGTGGGACAGAGAAGCAGCGCCCCCTGCCAGGTGGAGTGTGGCAGGCACTTTGGAACCACTCACCCATGCATCAGTCCCTCCTTATCACACAAAACTTTCAGGAATAAAAAAGATATAAATCTGGAAATAATTTCCATTTACCACATGTTGCCAAAGCTTAAATTTAGAATTATTAAAAAAAAAATTCAGTGATTAAACAAAAATATGATATTGAGGTTTTACCACCTGTGCTACTTCTGATGATATAACCTACTTTGGAGGGGGACAGAAGTAGTCAGAACTAATGAGGAGAGGGTCAGGATTACCCCACCCCCCACAGAGATTATCAGCATAATCCCCACCCCCCAGAACCCTGATAGACTCCAGAACAAGGCGTGACAGAGGTAGGAGGGAGGGGGTCTTTCTTCCCCAGAAGTTCAACTACAAGTGTCACTGCCAGAGACTGATGGCCAAGGCCTCTTCTAGACCTACTCCTCTGACCTATAGTCATTTGTCAGTTACAAGTAGGACAATGGTAACTTCCCAAATCGGAATGTAGCATTCAAGGTTTTTGTGAAGGTCACTGACACCAACATAGGGTTCTTATGCTTGATGGAGAATTGAAGATAGAACTAGCATCTGTAGTAATTGGACACTTCTTTGGGTCATCTGCTAGGGGTTGGGAACTGATGGTTGAGCAAGCACCTGCACTGGAGACTGGCAAGGGTCAGTGACTAGGGTACTACAGGCCTGTGTTTACTGGTGTTGGCCATCATGTGTTCCAACTGATGGGAAAACAGTCTGTCAAAGCCTGGTATTAGCTGTGCATGTCGGGAACACATGGTGTGGAGTTGGGCAGGGTCCCCTCAGGAATCTTGTGTCTACACGAGGAATGCCACACTCTTATTTCTACAGAGTAGGACATCTATTGACATTAAATTTAACCTGTTGATTCAAGCCTGTGCTATGAAAAACTCCACCATTTGCTGTACACACATATAATTTGTGTTTATTTGAAGTAACGATAACTTTCTCTGTCCTGTTTAGTATGAAATATCATGCATGAAGTATTACATTGAGTTATGAGGCATTAGGAAGTCATTAAAGTAAATGGGGTGGAAATAACATTGCCTTGCTCTGTGGGCAAGACCACAACCAGTACAGCTTGTCACACTCGATTACAATTAGCTAACGGATGCTAATTATCCATAACTATACCAAGGTCAGAGGTCAGGTTCTAGTTATCTGAGACAAATATAAAATGCCAAGCCCCAATCAAACTAATGATTAACGACAGGACCTGGAAATTGTCTGTCATAGCAACCTCATTTCTCAAGCTGTAGAAGGACATTCCATCACCAGCTATGGCTAGGTGTTGAGTTAACTGCTGCAGGCCTACATTGTTGGGCTACTGAATACATAATAATCACAACATATTGACAGGCATAAGACATTCATCAGTTGGAGGGGGTAAAATGTAGATGTGCCTAATTGACAGGCACATCCTATACATTATACAGCAACCACATTCATGTCAATTAGTTGATAGAAACATCCTATATACAATCCAGCAGGGGGGAAACAGGGTGCTCTACTGTGCCCTTCATTAATTATGTTCATTGTTTTGAAAATTTGTAGCACATGGGACAGATTTTAGAATGACTCTACACTGCCTATGTTTTACGGATAGACTGCCTTAAGTATACTGACACTAAGCTTTAAAGAAGGAACTTTAATTTTGGGTCGAACTTGAAGAATGGCCTGTTATACTGAACAGGAACTGGGTGTGGGAATATCATACAGTGACATTGTGACTTGTTACAGATAATGATGTTAGCAATGTGGGAATGAGGGCAATAATTACATGAAGGAACAGATTATAGTTCCGAGTTCCTCAGAGTAGCTAATCTCCTTCCACGGGACTACAAGAGGATTTGGACATCAGGAATGGGTTTCTACTTGTGGACAATACTGATCCTCACTGGGGTGAGATGATACCCTTTTACACAATAGGATTTGAGAGAGCTCCCACGGGGGACAGGTCCCCAGCAGGAAGGGGATGGGGGTTAGGGAGGGATTTGCATTGTAGTTCAGGAGTATCATCGAGTAAAGTTCATAATGACTAGGTGTCCGGTTTCAATCATTCTTATGGCCCTTATCCACAAGATCCTAATTTTCATGACTTCTAAAATGAAACATTTTCACAGATACTATCTATGATGTATGGTTTTACCTGGTTAATTTTTCACTACAGAAATTCATAATGGCCATTTAAGGATCATTAGATACGAAACAGTTTTATATAAACATTTTCTATATCTTCGGGACATAAATATATAATCCCTCATTAAACAGGTACTTCAAAGTAAATGCACCATGTTTTACAACATACACCTTCAATCCCCACTTTATGACTTGTTAAAATCCCGTCTACTCCATGTATTAACCATAGTATACAAAACCCAGTTCACAATAATTGGATAACTTGAGATCAAGGCCATAAAGCTTACAAATATACAAAAAGGTGACTTATTAAAAAAACACCAGCTCAGTTGTTACCCCCCTTCTATCTTTTTTATTAGGGTTGTAAAACTAGGTGATTATAATGTGATCATTTGACCCAAGCCCAATTCTTGATCTCTGCTGTTGGGAGCTTGGTGTATATAGTGTGTATCTACTTCAAAGGTCTTAACCACTAAGGGGATTTGCTAATTATCCATTCAACTTAATATGCTGATGCTTTGATCTGAGCTTGGGCAATACAGGTGCATAGGTGTGTGCAATCAACCCTTTCAGGATTTTGAGTGGAGAGAGCCTTTCTGTAACTTGCAAAGTTCTCATTGGCTGGTTAGATCACCGTGTATTGACAAGGAATGAACTAAAAGGGTGGATGGTCCATGTTGGTCATCATTCATTCCTGGAAATAGCAAGAGTTACACAAAGTTGTCTTACTAAGCAAAACCTTTACAAAGCAGTGTACTCAGTTGGATAACTGATACCTAGTGTTGGATAACTGATACCAAGTGTTGGATAACCGATACCTATCTTTGGATAACAGCTCCTGTGTCGTGTAGCCATGAGAGTTATTGCTGACTGGGAAGGTAAACTTTACTTTTCAATTTTTCAATTTTCAACATGTTCAAAACAATTACCTGTTCTTCTGAAATGACTGATTTTCCATTTTTCTGCACACAATATACTTTTTATGAGATTTATAATTCTAATTATTTATATTAAGCAAGTTTAGCTTTAATTAAAAACATGTTTATGGCCTGCACTAATTGATACCTGCACTTACTCAATTATTTTAATTATTGTTTAAACTATTGTAATCAGTTAACACATTATGAAGTAACCACATTATACTCTTCAAAACAAGTTAATGGAATCCTCAAAATATTTAAATACTCTTAAGACATGTATTGAGAAATAGTTATTTTAAAGAATTGTTGTACAAACAACACAAGATGATAAGAAAACTTTGAGTACAGCTTAACAATGGCATGAGGAGGATGTTGGTGTGTGGGATTTATCTAGGTATCACCTGAGACAGGTGTGAGGTAAGGTGAGATGGATTTAACAGGTGCTTGTATGGATTTAGATTATCTCAACACAGTGAATAAAGAACGGGTATCAGGATCATAGATAATACAACACTGACTCTTATGGGATAACCTAGTGATATGTCTAAACTGTTAATTATTATGTAAACATCTATTGTGTTATGTATTCTATTATGCATAATCTTATATTCCAAAAGTCATGCACACCTGCATTAAGGAATTTAAAAAATTTTCACCAAACACATAATGAAAAATGGTCAGAATAAAATTTATCATGCATCTATAATGCATATTGTCACAATGGTCAGTAAACCCTAGCATGTGTCCCTAGCAAGCTGACCTCAGCTGACTGTCCAGTGTCTGCACATTGTAAGCATACCAGTAATGTATAACAGCTTAGTGACACTTGTAAACAGTTTTCAGCACATACAAATTCACAAATTGATACTCCTCAATCACCATGTCACCTTACTCATGTGAGAGATTTCTATGCCATTTAATTGAATTAGATCACCTATTGAATTTGACAATGAGTGAGTGATTCAACTGATTTGTTTATACAAACAAAAACAAGGTATTGTTTCTTACCTGACTCAATTTGTTTAAACACACACCTCGGTATGAGGTCTTGCCCCAGCCAACCAGAGCCGAGCTCTTAACAAGCTTCTATTGTTCAAGCCATATATGGCAGGAACTGATTGCATTTTTGACACTTACAGCCTATAAATAAGCAGGGTGGAAGCTTGTAGATCAGTACAGTCTTGCCTGATACAATTAACTACTTGTATTTTGGAATTTTCTGTGACCTGGATATGATTATGATGGCAAGGAGTACAGAAAGAATACTAGCTCAACTTGAAGGTAAACTATTTAAATTTGAATATTATCTTGAATTAAATGTAAAAAATCAAATTTAAATTCAATTTTAGAAAATTTAAAATTGTTACGTTTAAAATCTACCTGGAATTTGAGGTACAATCTAATTATGCATATCATCTAATAGGTTTCAAATTAGGATAATAGTGGTTGTAACATTAGTTGCCATTGATACCTGTCTTTAGAGGGATAATTATAGAACATCTGAGTTACCCCACTGTAGTGCTGTAGTTTGCCCCTTCAATGTCCGCTGTCTGTTAATCACCTATAATAGTCGGTCATAGGGGGAGTGCAAGGACCCAATTCAGTTGGTCTAATTTTGGTTTCATCACGTCTGTTAAAACCAGTAGCATCTGCTCATTAGTGTTAAATTCGGACATTGCTGTTAGGAATTGATTTTTCAAGTGGTTTCACCATTCACAGGCTGCCAGTTTATTTTGATTTTATTTTAAACTTTGAACAAATATGAGTGCTGTTTGACACACAATTTTTCAATATTATTCTTATTATTCTCAATAATATTATTTCTTCAAACAAATGTTAGCATAACATAGTGTTGTTTTGATTTACAATAATTCACTTTTTGAATATTCATTGTTTTTTCTAACAAATTTGAGTATGAGATAGTGTTTGATTTACAATATTTAAACAGCCCCAAGTTGGTAGTATAATTATTAGACAGAGATTAGCACTGACAGTGAAATGTTGTTTGAAGTGGAGAATACATGAAATATACAATGTCTGATTAGATGATGGAAACAAAAAGTGGTATCAACATGAAAGAGCCAGATTGTTCTTCCTGCTTGATAACATGTCATTTTCTTGTTGATGTCATGGTGGGTTGTTTAAGAATTTATGACATCGCTAATCCCAGAGCCAGCCGTGAGTAATCCCCGGTAGATAACCCAGGTAGACAGAGTTTGTAAATTACAGATCACACTAATCCACCCTGGACTAAAGACAGTGAAAAACACTGAGAAAATCAAAGCATTGAATGAAAGATAATCAATTAGTGTTGTACAATGGGAGAGTTAGTTTCAGTGTCACGGATCTGTATACAGCAGATTGCAACACAATAGGTTAATTGCCTGGGCTCAACCTCCAGACAGCATGGTGAGATATATAGACAGCCAAGTGGCATCCCACTCACATTTAAGGCATGAAGGTGATGCTGCTCACATCAGTCTAACTTGGGCTTGGATCTACCTGTGGTTTTTACCTATTTTCACCTGTCCTCCACACCTATGCTGGTTAGCATGTTAATTATGGGGGAATGTGTTGGACTTGTCAGCTCTCACCTGAACCCCGGGATTGCACAAGGTATATATACTTACACCTGTTCTGTAATTGATGGCTGGAGTTTACAAGGTGTTATGTTTTTCTAGAAGGGATTTTACTATCGCCAATTATGTTGTTACCTTCACAGGTTTGTGTTGAAATGACAATTATTGGTGCAAGTTTTTATTGGGTCAGCATGTATCTTTGCTCATTTGCAAGTTTGACTTTCCACGAGCAGGTCATACAAACAAACGAGTGTGGCACATTTATTACCTTGTACTCATAGGCTTACATTTATTGCAGATTGGTTAGAGTGCACGATGGAAACCGATGCCAGCATTAATGACCACATGACCTCGGACGAGATGTACATGCAGCTTCAAGCTGATATGGTAAGTCAAATTATCTGTTTTCATCATATTCTGGCTGAATTTGCATCATAAAACTTCCATCACCATCACCATTTCTTGGTCTAAGGGAGGTAACTCTTGATATACATTTTAAGGCTCTTCGGTCACTACCCAAGGTCAGTTGCCTGTGTTGAGTTACTGTTGACTCAAGCAAGTGTTTGCTTGCTTGTGTCACAATGGCCCATTCATCATTTCAACAATGTATCAGGTAGAGTGAATTGCTGTTTGAACAGGGTGTATCTATCTTCTTTGTAGTGTAGCGTGTCCTTGGCAAATGCAATTTCCTGCTGTACAAAGAGTGATTCCACATTTCATTAAATGCTTCATGATTTCCCCATCAGTGGATTTTAAAAACTTTCTAGACTAGGTGTCATCTCTGCATGGTTTCCAATATAAACAATTTGGGTAGGATATAGAGGCAAATTGTTATATAATTTGCAGCTATTTCCCTTTCCACCCTTTGATCAATTTATAACAACAGTCTGCATTGTCTCAAAAGTCATATTTTCCCACTTTAATGTTTTCTAACTCAATCAAATTTCATCGCCCTGAAGAGGTTTATTCGGAAAGGATTACCAAAATAAATTGACATAAACTTGCTAATTTCTAGAGGACATATCATCAAAGGATGAGAATTAATTATAGGGAATTTCTCCTGGGAACCATGCCTCTGTATACTTTTCCCTTTACAAAGTTAGTTTTAACAGTTTAGCTAAAACCTGTAATCAACTTGGGGGTTATTGTTTGAAAGCCTCCCCTCCCTGGCTTGTGAGAGGCTATACAGAAAGCAGGGCCACTGGTCACTACAAAGGTCCCCCACATCTGTCCGGCCTCTCAGCTTGACCACTCTCACATAATTAGCACACTGTAACATTCTGTCTCCTGACAGGGGCACTGTTTAGGATGACCATTTCCAATTCTCAAATGTATTTTCCAACTTCCACATATCAGTCCTTAAATTGTCCTTTGGTAATAATTCAGGAAAACTAATTCTAAAACCAAGGCCCCAGAAGGTTGAAACAGTTTGTAATCAGTCAAGCAGAACTCCCCACCCCATGAGGGCCCCAGTGGTATAATGAGCAGGGGGCATCTGATTTGCATGTGTATAGCCCTATTGGTCAGTATGAGCTAATCAGGATGGCATTGTGAGTTGCACTCAGGCCTGGGCTGTGCAGTGGTCAGTAGCAGAGGCCAGACACAGTGATCTCAACATTATGTACTGTCTGTACCTTAAATGGAACACAGTGGAAGTTTGAGCAACAGTTTTCTTCATTTGGATTATACCTTTGTGACTGGATGTACAAGCTGAGGACTGTGATATTGTGTTCAGGAAACTGATGACCAATTGGGTCTGTGGGATCAACTGTATATATTCCTTCTGAGCCAGGCTGGGCATTCTTTCTTCTAGCTGTAAGTGTTTCAACAGTGTTGTACCTAGATCTGGAAATGGTTTACAGAATTTGTAAGGTAATTGTGATAGAGGGTTGGTGATGGTGGTGACAAGGGATGGCAGCCATCTTATCTGTTTACAACTCATCCAAAATGGCTGCCATTCTTTGTTGGTCTCATGTAATGTTATGATGTATCTTCGGCCTATTTTCTGTTCAATATTTTTAACATTTATGTTTCAGTATTTTATTTTATTTGTTTAGTGTTTATTTATTTGGTTTAAGTAAAAAATCCTATTTTGTGAACAAGGACATTTTGTAATTCTTTCTTTTACCATTATTTCTTAAATTCCTCCGATAAATAAAATCTAAATAATTTTTTTATTTTCAACAATTCCCTTTGATGTTCAGTGGCCAGAAAGTTCAGTTTTCCCATTAAACTTGCCCTGTCCAGTCTATTGTGAGGGGTCTACTCGACAATGACATAACCAACCACTGAAAAAGCATTAGGATTCATGTAGAGAGCCTGTCAGACTGGACTGAGAGGCAATAAATCTTGCAGTAGCTGCTTCAGGCTCTTTAACCCTTTACATGCCTATGTCCCCCTTCAGATAAGCACCCCTCAAACCATAGCTGCATTTATGGCCCCATTTTACAACCACGTAACCCTGGAAACCAGCCCCAGTCTGACCATGATGTCTGATATACACAATGATAAGATTAAACAGGTCACTGCACAATACTGGCAGGCCTAATTAAGATTTCTATTTCATTAAAACCATTTAGACCATTCACTTGTATCAAGTAAAAAAGTATTTTTAGAACATGTAAAAGGTAATGCAATTTAAATATGTAACATTACATAGGTATTTTCAACTTTTAAAATAAAAAGTAATTTTCCCACTTTTGACATCTGACCAAGTTCTTCCAAATTACTGCCACACTTGTTTTGATGTCATATTTGACACACACAAACATGTCCAATGAGAGAACAAATGAAAATACTAGGGGCTAATTGGTGACAAGTGGCTCAGAACTGCAACTTGTCAATGGCACACTTAGCACAATGTCCTAGGGTTAAAGACAAAAGAATAGAATCCCCTAATCAGCAGCAAACAAACCCCTGACAGGGCCAGGCTTACATTGTTTAACCCAGACAGTGTGGCTGCAGGTAGAAAAACATAGGCCTTAGAATAACTCCCTGTCATTGTCCAAGCTTGGACCAATCACACTGTAGTTTTAGTCTGATTAGCACAGCAAACAGGTTATTGTACACAGGGGATATAATCGGCTGAATTGCCCTGGGTTAGTTTATTTGCCATAACCTTTGGCCATAGGTAAATATTCCCTTAGCTGTCAAAAGTATAGAATAACATTTAGGTCCCAAGGTCATAAGTAATTGGATTTCAGGGAGTAATGGTAGGAATGGAACTTGTCTGGTTCTTTTTTAATTATTTGATATGAATTAGTTTGTTTTAAACCTATGACATTTGTTGACTTGTTTACTTATTTATTTTTTCTTAATTTCCAGGTAAACATCAAAGCTCAGGAGCAAGCCCTCCAGTCTGAGATAAGCAACATTAAGTCGAAGTTCACAAATCTGCTCCAGACCTGCGGCCTGGAAGATGAGTTCCCTGTTGATGACAACGTGAAGATGTCCACACCAAGAAGGCCAACACTAGCCAACGATGGAACTCCAAGACGCACCAACTTCAACTATGCTGACTTCCTGATAGAACAGCTCCTTGCTGGAAATACCCTAACAGACTCTGATCTCTCCATCAGCCCTGAAGACACAAGAAACTCGGCGGAAGTTGAACCTGAGAACCTGAACCATGTTGACTCCTGCAACCTCCTCAGTGCCAGCACAGCAGCAGTGCCCAACCAGAATGTGTTCCACACAGACAATCACCACGTCACTGTTGCTTCAAACGTGCTCCGTCAGGTCATGCCGAACAACATCGATGTCACCACATCCGAGAATGGAGTTGCTACTTCCTCAGACTCTTACCCCCAGTCCTCCTCAGACTCCTCGGATAACCAGGTTGTGCCTGATCTTGACCGTGAGAAGGACCTGGATTCTCGCAGGCATTATTATTCAGACTTTACTATTGACAGACAGAGGAAGATCAACCAGCTTCTTATCCAGCTCAAGCAGAATAACAACACCACTCTCCTCAGCAGGCCAGAGGTTTTCCCAGGCGGTGACAGCTCCGAGCGACTTGTTGAGGGAGCTGAACAGCAAGTGTCCTTCCGCAAGGTCATGATCAACAGGCGTACCTCCACTGCCAGTTCCAGGTCCAGCGGTACTGACTCAGCATCTGCATCTAGCACCATGAAGAAATCCAGTCGATCCACAAGTCGCCGCAATAAGACATCTTCATCTCGGACTAGTAGTCACCCACTGATGTCCTCGACCATGATCTCCGACCCATCCATTGCCATGCCCAGCAGTAGCTCCAACTCCAGCGTCTATACCTGGTCCATTGATGAGAACTCCGATCCAGCTGACCTCCAGGGCTCCTACATGAGGAGTAGACACAGCCAGCACAAGTCTCACAGAATCCGCAAGTCTACTTCCAGCACACCCCGAGTGTCTACTGAGCGCAAGCGACGTCACCACCGTCATCGTGAGGCCCCATCTCTCCACCTCACCCACATGGTTTCCACCATCGAGACATCCAGCTGCAGCAACCGAGTCTTCGCAGAGAACAACTGTGAGAAGCTACCCCGCACCAGTACCAAGACCCAGCTGCCCATCATCAACAACTCTTCCTGGGAGAAGGCCCCCATCCACTCTACATCAGGTGCCGAGTTCTTCAGCATCCAGCCCTCTGATGTCGATGACACTCTGGACTCGTCCCCTCTCCAAGAACGACTCGATCTTCCCGGGAAGTCCAGCTCCAGTGGTAGTAGCGCCGGCGGCCTCATCAACCCCTGCAACACCATGCAACAAAGTGCTCTGACAACAACAGACTATACCCGTGTGTCTTCCCTGGCGGACTCTTCTCTTATCGACACTGTCCTCACAGACAGTCCAGCCGACTCCGTCAACAGCAGTGGCCTCTATGCTCCCTGCAACTCTCCCCGCTACAGCAGCGTCGGCTCTCACTGCGGCTACACCACCGTCAGCAGCAGCGTACCCTCAACTTCCAGCAACGAGTACAGAGCACCACTGCCAACACCTGCTACAGTCAGACCTGAAGACTCCATCTTCAAGATTCCCCACAGTCCTATCGGGAAGAAAAGGTCATCGAAGAAGAGCGTGAGCCACAGCCCCAGTGTCCGTACCTCAACACCCCGCCCCCCCTACTCCGGGGGATCAGTCCGCAGTGAGCCTGTCATGAGGAGGAAGCTGTTCTCTACCGGAGCAGTTGGTGCCACTGAGCACAAGATCTTGGACAAGAAGGCATTGGTCCGCAAGTTCAAGAAGTTCAGTCATCACTTTCACAAGAGCGACAAGTCGAACAAAATCAAGACCCTCGCCCAGTTGTAAACTGAACAATTTGTGCTCCTGGTTTTAATAGTGCGAATGTGACGTTCACTTGTACAGGACATTTGTGAATAGTGTGGTTGTGAGGACAATAGAAGCTGTGGCTTCGAGGTTGTGATTACAAAGAAATTGACTTTGTGTAAATGTTGTGAATAACCATCGGTGATATTACTCTTCCTGCAATTGCCAGACTCTTTCATTACAATTCCACATTATCATTCAAAGCCACAATTACTGTCATTCCCAGTGCAATACAGATTTTCATGCATACCAAACAGATTCTTGCTCATTGTATAGTGTAAATATGTACATATGTCAGATGAATGCTATTTATTTTCTTGTCAAGAACACAAGAACAGTGCTACAATATTTTTGATTTCTAGTCAATCAAAATGTCATGAATAAATACAAATCAATTCAAACCATTCTCTTTGTTTTGCTTTAATACTTTGAGTGACCAGCAAATAATTGTCTTTAGATTTCAATCTTCAATTTCACAATGCTGTAGAAATACTGGTTTTCTAATAGCAGTTGGTGTAGTGCCCACTGTGGTCGTCTGTAAATAGTCCGGGGTGGACAAACAACAGCATGGAGCCTGTCATTTGAGCAGTCGGTCAAGAGGATTGACATACAACATACAAAGCTGTTAACATTACAAGAGTTTGAACCAATGTAAAATTTACGTCTCTGATGTGACATCTGGTGGAGACATTCATGTTGCCTTGTGGGTGCATAAATTTGGTAAATTCAGTTATTTTAAAATAATGATTATTTTTCAACCACCGACATCGTAAGAATGAAACAATTCTGTAAACCAACTACAAACTAATTAACTGCCTATTATATCCACAAGCCCCTACTTTCAAACACGACCTACAAATGCAGTAAACTACATCCACATCTGGATGAACTATTTATTCAAACCTACTACAATATCATTAGCATCTATTTCAAATCCCACAATGCTGTAAGGCAATTAAACAAACACACCCAAAACTTGCAAGAACCAAAATGAAAGTACCTAATGAAATTACAGAATTAATTTAGCCCATTTCTTCCTCAAGAGCCCTTGAAACCACCTTAGATTTACTTCAAAAGTCCCAGCACCCATCTCAACAGCCTCCAATCCCCTTCACCCTTTCAGAACCAACTTGCCTGAAGCAAACAAGACAGCCTGATCCAACTTTACCTAATCCTGACACAATGCTAATTCCAACTTCCCCTGGCCCAACAATAGCCCCACTAGTTTTCTACCAGGCACACAATGAGCTCTCATCTTCCTATAGGCGTTACAATAGGGGCTGGGGGTGCCTGTAGATGGCAGTACAATAGGGGACTGTCCACAATAAAACTTCCTGTACCTGACAGTGATGAAACTTGCACTGTCACCAGTGTTGTAGATGTGCCACGATCCTGCACGCCTGACTGTTACACGGAACCCCTACAGTGGTATGACATGGCTTGGTTGTTGGGTAACAGGACTGTCTGAATCAGCTCCCAAGTCTGGCTTTCATCTCCTGGTAGATAAGCTAATCTTGTAGTCTCCTGCTTGAACGCAAACATGTGCTGTGTAACTTGCTAAATTGGAGTTGATAATGTCCATGGTTTTCTTTGAAGCGGTTTTGCACACAAAGGAATTATTCATGTTAGTTGGTCATGGTTGATAAATGTTTGAAATGTTTCACACATTTGAAGGTGTGATGATGGCACAGACACACTAACCAGTGCAGATGAAGATGCAGCGGCCATAGTTACATTACATACACAGAGAGGGCCACTACTCCACAAGGCCTGAGATGACGGAAAATCATTATCTGTTTTCTAAACCAAATTTACCTGATACATAAATCATTGGTCTGAAAGAAGCTTTGGGCTAGTTGGATATAACTGAGTGTTGGAAACTGGCACTCATCCTATCATCCTTGCCAAACTACCCAATAGTTAAGGGATCATAAGGACTTGTAGAAATTTGCCATTTTTAAGGGTTTTGCTATGTTAGCATTATGAGGTCTAGCGGTCTAAAGCTGTTGGTTTCTAGTGCTGATAACTCATGGTGTCTTGTACTGCAAATGCAGACATTGAAGTCGGAAAACGTGTTCCTCTTTGCTTGCTAAAATATATATATTAGGGGAGAACTATTGATGAATGCCATTGTCCAGTGTCAAAACATCCATGGCCATTAAAGATCAATAGTTACCCATGGATTTACACTGTTGATAGTATTGATGATAACAATAAGAGAAATTACTGCAAATAATTTACTTTTGTATTCAATCCAAAACACATTGCAATAGTTGTAAAAATATAGCAGCAGCATATCACGGTCAGCTTATCATGGCAACAATACTGTGAAATTGATAGCCCCCTAATGTCCTGATATCCCTTTGAGAAGCAATGCAATAAGAGTACAGATTAAGATCTGTATCATATTTACAGCAAACACAATGAATACAGAGTAGACACAATTTATGGATAACAACTTCTTTATTTACTGAAAAGGTGACATTTCGGAATAGATCCTTATACCACTGCTTAACAACCGTACAAGGATCTATTCCAAAACATCGCCTTTACAGTAAACAAAGAAGTTGTCATCCATAAATTGTGTCTACTTTGTCATCTGTAGAGAGAGGTTAACAGAAGATGAATGTCGCTGGATCTATCAGCTCTAGGTCAGATATCAACATGCACATAATTTATCAGTATTAAATGCTGCTAAAACTATGCCTTTTTGAAAGAATAATGTTTTCCCTTTCACATAATATAATCTCTTGGCAACGAGGGGTAATGCAAGCCACTTAGCACCTACCCAATATTCACTGTATCAATGTGGACCTTGGCATATAATTGTTTTCTAATTATTCATGGTAATGCCTTTGATTCAAGGGATTTGGATAATGACTATAGTGAAAAGGCGTGATGTGGTCAGACAAGTCTTGAATATTTCGGCTCTTACGGTGAAATCTTCTAAAAAGATTTTTAAAAATGGGTAAAAGATACTAAAACATAATGATTGTTTTTATTGGAAATTAATACACTGAAACACGCTCTTAAGAAAATCCTTTACATGTCTTTCAAAAATTGCAATTACGGTATAATGTGCCACTCTGGCAGGTGGCAGAGGGATTATCTATTGGCTAATCTGATTACACTTCCCCGACAGTGCCACTACACAGGTGACAAACGGAACACTGCCCCTACAGAGGTGACAAACAGAACACCATCCCAATATAGGTGACAAATGGAACACTATCTCAATGCAGGTAGCACAACAACAACAAATATCAGATTTTGTCCATGTCATGCAGGTCTACTAACAGCAAGGTATATTTTAGTTCATCAATTCTTATGTCTTTACAACACTAACAGACTGATTGTGTTTCTAATTGTACCTAGAATTGTAAGTTTTAGTGTTCGACATGAAATCTGGAAACATATAAAAAATGTAATAACATACCCTATAAAATTGTGTCATGATTTCCCTATTCAAAGTTAAAACAGGACTAACAACCCCGATGCCTGTCATATAAACATTCAATGAGACGCCCGTATCAGGAATATTGGGAAGAACAGCCCCCAGTACCCAAGCTTATTCCCAGAGTTGACTGGTGCCTTGGCCAACAGTGTGTAGTGCTGTTGCTCATGATGTCAACCACTGGTTTGTCTGACCCAGATCTGATTACTTACCATGATGTAGGCGAAATATGTCTGACGGATGAACAAAGCACATTCAGTTCAAAGATCCGTAAAATCATGTAAGAACCTATTCAAAACCTTACAGACCCCTGCTGATTCCCATAATTCAATCATGTTATTCATCAAATACTTGTCTCTGAGGTTTGTCTAATTCAAGCATTTACCACACCAAGACTCAAGAGAGGACATGCTATAACTGTTACTAAAGTTCAGGGCATAAGTTTCATTATTACACAACACATACAAGTTCAGCCAACTTTATTTCATGATGTTGTTTTACATATCATAAACTGGGGGTTAATGAGTAGTGAAGGACTAGTACCCTCATTATGGTGGAGGAAACACAAGAGCAGGGGAACCCTGAACCATAGACTGACATCTAGTCTCTGAAATGAACATATCGCAAAGAAAAACGTTGTTCAGTTAACTTAATAAAAAATATAATAAAAGGGAGCCCAGTGACTCTCTTCATTTTCAGATACTGCAGTAATCGAGACTTGCCAAAAATTATAGACTTGCATGGGCTATATTTGATATATATTTGTATCAGGGTCTGTAAGAAACACCGATCTAAGTCAATGGTCCTGATGATGCAACTAGTTCTGAAACTAGCTTGATCATCATCGTCAATACACAACTCTCACCATCACCTGGGAATACATACAACTGATTTGCGGTGCAGTTGCTATTTTTAACCAACAAATCAAGTTATTTAGGAAAAATATATTACCCAATAATGAAAAATAGTTTTGTTATATAAATAAGTCTACCAAAATTGAGCAGATTGGCATCTCAGATTGAGTTGCTCAAGTCAACGAAGATGGATATTGTAACTGGTGGCGAGGGGACAACAGCTGCACACTTCTAAGGGAGTTAACTCTGTAATGAAAGTTTGAAATTCATTTGGTTTTGGCACATTGCCAATGCAACTGGCTAGGAATTTGGTTCAACCCCTTGGAACAGTACTTCAGTTACGTTATGGAGTGTCAGCTAAATGTGGGCGGAAAGCCTGAAGCGAGGCAGGCCTTAGTTACTACAACTAGGGCTGGGATGGGTAACTCGGGTACTCGGGTCGGGTGGGTCCTGAGTAGGACCCGGGTACCCACAGGACTACCCAGACCCGTGGTTAGTCACCTGATATATTGTTTAATGACAAAGGTTATCTAGAACTTCATGGTTACACTTCAAATCACTAATGTTTGGATTTGTTTCTGACTATGCACCATTCCTTCTGACTTTTATATGTTTGAATAAAGATAAAGATTCAGTCAAATTCAGTGGACGCATTACCAGATCGTTCTATACGTGTATCTAAGTGCATTTTGCTTGGGCTACGGTCCATCGACTCCCAATTGGATATTTTGTTCCTATCTCTTGTGACAGACACCTGGTACCCGGGTAGGGTAGGTAATAGGGTGTTGGGTACCCGGGTAGTAAATGTGGACTTGTCCAAGCCCTAACTACTACCCATACAGACCGTTCCCAACACAGACAATTCCCCGCATTCCTGAGGCTAGTGAGCTAACTGACTGTAAAAGTCCAGTTTCCCCCCCTGCTGATCTAGGCTGTACCAGTACATGTGCCTGTATTAGGGAAACACAAGCGGGGGTGTAAGACACGAGAGGGGCATGTATGTATGAGGGTTGTACTAGCATGGCTGTAAGTGATAGTGGGGGTAGGGGAAGAGGGAGTATGCTGGTTATACAGATAAACAGTGAACACATTTCTATAACTGGATAGTGCAATGATGGGATTAAATTGCGTACTTCAATTCGGTTTTGTTGACTGGTATTTCCAGTGTTACGTGATCGCGTTGATCAGCTGATAATGTTTTTTTTGAGATTGGGAAAACATCGTGTCATTGGAAAACTTGAGTTTATTAAAAATGTAAGCTAATGTTGTGAGCCATGCTTTACTGCATGCTATAACTGAGTTAGAGCTTTATTGAAGAGCGCAAAAGCGAGGGAACCCTATATAACATATAGTGTAGGAAATATAACTGGATATAAATATGTTTATATCATCATATAACTGGATCAGTTTGACTGTATGTTATATATTGTCTGTGCATGTTGGACAGAATTCATGTCAAGCAGATGCATGAAAAGAACATGCATGTGATATTGTATTGTAATTTAGTGTAAATGTTGTGTAAAATGGTATCAACTGCTACCCTACAATATTTGAATGTGGCCGGGCGCCACCCACTGAAGTGTAACTGGCATGTAATTGTACCTGAACTAGAACAGCATGTGACATCTTAATAAATTAATTCTCTTCTTTTACTTCCGTAAATATGTGCACAGGCTGCTGGGAGGCAGGTGAGTTGCTACACTGTGCATCCATCTTAATAACTTCCTGTCTGATGCTAATCCCGACTCAGCCTAGCTGTCAGCTGTCGGCGCAATTACCTCAAGATGTCACTAACGAGTCATGTGTCAAACTCACCTGTGCAAGGTAGATGTATGATCATTAAGGTGAGACAATGAGTGTACCGATGCAACTTTAGTGTCTGTGACATTCACTATCATGGTCACTTGGGGTCACACGGAATAGTTACAGTAAAATATACATGGCTGATGAAAATGGTAGTATGAAATTCAAGGACTTCTCAATGTCAAGTATTGCAGGTTTGTTTTATCATAAAACAAGGTACAGGGGGACTGTACTTGTGTGTGAAGGAGGATAATAATAAATAAACTAAAGTTAATTATGAAATTCAGGTACCTTTTGCAAACCATGAATAAAGCGAATGTTTCACAATCTTAAGCTCAGGTCTGATTGTTTCCTAGAGGACCCAATGTACTGTGAGTGAGTGAGTGAGTGAGTGAGTGGGTGGGTGGGAGTGAGTGAGTGAGTGAGTGAGTGGGTGGGTGAGTGAGTGAGTGAGTGGGTGGGAGTGAGTGAGTGAGTGAGTGAGTGAGTGAGTGAGTGAGTGAGTGAGTGAGGGTGAGTGAGTGAGTGAGTGAGTGAGTGAGTGAGTGAGTGAGTGAGTGTTGGTGAGTGAGTGGGTGAGTGAATGAGTTGGGTCCACTGTCTCTTTCAACAGTTACATCACAGTGTGTCAGCTTGGCGTGGGAGGAAAACCTGAAGTGATGCAGGTCTCTGACGTTTACTACTTTGGTGAAACCAACAAGCACGGACCAAAGACAGAAGTGTATTCTGTGTACTCATGAAGATATTCACGTTGTTCCCTTTGGAATTGAGCCCAAAAGTCGAACACCTCTGACCATCCTCAACATCAATGAATGTGTTTACACCATGGGCAAGATAATAGGCCATTGTACTAACGTAAGAAAGTGTGCCTCTTTACCACTTTCAATTTCTGAATTCCCAGCTTTCTTTTAATCTGGTTCTTCATTTTCAATGTTTTAATCCTGATTAATTCTGAGAGTTCATTTATAACTGGCTTTAAATACCCTGTAATACACACTGTCACAATTTTTTTTGTTAAGAATATGTGATGTCCAAGTGTGGTCTTTAGACACCAGGGCCCCGTTCCACAAAGTGATCTTAGCGCTAAGTCAATCGTAACTCCCATTCTTTAACACTGACTTACGACAATCGTAGCGCTAAGATCGCTTTGTGGAACGGGGCCCAGGATCTTATTTAACTGTGCCAAGGAAGTTCAAAACCTGAAAACATATGAATTGGTACATACAATTCAACACCCCTGATGCAAATTTCTTATCTGTGTCAAACAGGCACTAGCCATCACTGAAAGATAGCCAGGGGTCAAGGGACTATATAATTTATGTGTATATTGTAATCACATGTCTCACAAAAGTAATGCTTGACACAACCAAATTTGTGGAATTCATCGAATCCATGGAAAATTTTCATCCCTGCATATTGGCAATCCAGTTCATCTCAGGCCAATTGGACCATGGCCGGCACAGGCTTGAAACAATACACGAACTAGTTTAGTTGTGTTCTACAAACCAAATGCGGCAGGATCTGATGTTACATGGCTTACAGGTAATTGATGCAATCACTGTTCCACCGCAGCAGGAGGTATTATGTAGGTAGCCTAACAATCAGACCATAGTGTCTAGTGAAGGCACCTTGGTGAGTTATCTCCCCTGTTTCCATGACAGCACTTACCGGCATGAGGTATTGCTTGTATTTGTTGTGGACCTTCTCCCTGATTGTGGGGTCCTCTGGGTACAGAGTCTTCTGTACCAGCGCCAGCAGCATCTCTCTCTTCAGCTTCATCGCCAGCTGGGAGTTGAGGTCCACCTCAGATGTCTGCAGGCAACAAAACATACTTGGGAAGCATGCTTTACATTGGAGGGTGTTTTCAAATATAGATTCAAACTAGGGCCGGGATTTACTACCGTGGTACCCAACACCCTATTACCTGTCCCTACCTGGGGACCTATAGGTCTGAAGAGTGTTGATAGACGCTTTATCTTTTATAAAACTTTATAAAAGTCAGAATGCTTGCATAGTCAGAAAGAAATGTGAACATGAGCTATACTTGTAGAGTAACCTTGGAGTTTTATTGTTAATGTCGTTTAACAATATATCATGTGACTTACCACGGGTCCGGGTAGTCCTGTGGATAGGCTACTCAGTACCCACCTGACACAAGTACCCGAGTTACCAAGTTAGCAAGGCTAATTTCTCTTCTTGTTTTATGGAAAAGACAATTCCAAATTTGAATAAAATCAAGAGCACCATTGCAGTCATGGGGCAATTGAACCTGAGACTTTGGCATGACAGGTTAACGCCTTACCCACATGGCTACCTCTGCACCACAGGATTAGGGAGAGACCAAGATGGACGTTGCCATGGTTACGCTGATCGAACGTAATCCGACCAACGTCAATGGCATGTATTTCCGAAAAGCCGTTTTCTGAGACAATAAGTCGAACGCGACCTGATCGAGAGGCTCGTAAGTCTGACTAGACAGGTTGCGCAGAACGACATCGAGGTCCCAGGCCGGCGGTCGGAATTTACGTGACTGATCTTCAACCATGAAGGCACGTAGAATCTTCTGCAACTCCAGTACTTTAGTGAGCTTGTCGCACGTAGGAGACGGCACCACTGAAGCCAAAGCTGCCAGATAAGTCGAGATCGTCGACCCTTTCAGTCGCCGAGATGACCGGAGTGAGGGAGTGAGTGAGTATGGTTTTACTCCGCTTTTAGCAATATTCAAGCAATATCACGGCAGGGGACACCAGAAATAGGCTTCACACATGGTAGAAGATCACAGTCAAGCAGCTAAACAACACTGTAGTGTTTACCTTCAGTATGTAGTGATCAAACCCAAACACCTCATCAATCAGGTCGAGGGTGCGGAGGGTCACCTGGATCTCGAAGTACTTGTCAAGGATCTCGCTATATAGCACCCGCTTCGTCAGGTACGGACGCCAGATTTTGGGGATTCTGAAATGCAAAATAGTTTTTTCAAGCGAAGTCTTGGGAAGTCGCCAGTTTGAAACAAGTGCTGTAAAAAGCTTGAGAAAGCTGCTTTCTGATCATGCTGATTGGTTAATTTCCACAAATTTTACTCTTGTGTCCAATCCATTGGGTTTTGTACACTGATAAGTAGACTCTTTTATTGTATACATGATGCCTGCATTCAAGCAGTGAGACAATATCTGCAAACAGCGACTCAAGGTTATTACGCAGTGTTGTTTGACTATTTATAAAATGTCTCCATGCATATTTGGATGCAACTCCAAAGTGGGCTATGGTGATTTAGGAAGTGTATATTTGTTTGCTTGTTGTTAACGCCACACTCAGCAATATTCCAGCTATATGACGGCGGTCTGTAAATAATCAAGTCTGGACCAGACAATGCAGTGATGGACATCATGAGCATCAATCCACGCAATTGGGATACGATGACATGCATCAACCAAGTTACCAAGCCTGGCCACCTGATCTTGTTAGTTGCCTCGTATGACAAGCAGAGTTGCCTTTTACAGCAAGCACGAGTTGCTGAAGATCTATTCTAACCCGGGTCTTCATGCCGTGCTTGTGTATTTTGCTCAAGCTTATCTGGGGCTCTGAAGTATGCAAAATTTCATCCTTGTATCACAGTGACCTCTTATAAAACTTGTCCCCACTGAAATCGAATTGACTGACGTGACATGACTACACTATGGCAGCACGTATGTCTCGACCATATGAATAGTGGTTGATTGATTGTGTGAGTGAGTATAATTTTACGCTTCTTTTAGCAATATTCCAGTAATATCACAGCAGTGGAATATAACAGGCAAGCAGGTCACACATAGCAACCCCCCTTGTGGTACTCGTCAGGGTCTATTCTGCCTCAAGACATCCACTGGGGAATAGCTGGGCATCACAGCAAACTGTGTAGTTCAGTAGTGATGTGTGTACTAACGAGTACTGGGCATCACAGCAAACTGTGTAGTTCAGTAGTGATGTGTGTACTAACGAGTACTGGGCATCACAGCAAACTGTGTAGTTCTGTAGTGATGTGTGTACTAACGAGTACTGGGCATCACAGCAAACTGTGTAGTTCTGTAGTGATGTGTGTACTGAGGAGTACTGGGCATCACAGCAAACTGGGTAGTTCAGTAGTGATGTGTGTACTAACGAGTACTGGGCATCACAGCAAACTGTGTAGTTCTGTAGTGATGTGTGTACTGAGGAGTACTGGGCATCACAGCAAACTGGGTAGTTCAGTAGTGATGTGTGTACTAACGAGTACTGGGCATCACAGCAAACTGTGTAGTTCTGTAGTGATGTGTGTACTGAGGAGTACTGGGCATCACAGCAAACTGTGTAGTTCTGTAGTGATGTGTGTACTGAGGAGTACTGGGCATCACAGCAAACTGTGTAGTTCAGTAGTGATGTGTGTACTGAGGAGTACTGGGCATCACAGCAAACTGTGTAGTTCTGTAGTGATGTGTGTACTGAGGAGTACTGGGCATCACAGCAAACTGTGTAGTTCTGTAGTGATGTGTGTACTGAGGAGTACTGGGCTTACAACAGCTGAGATCAATGGGCCCATTCAGTGAACTATTTATATGTACCAGGTTGGAAAAAGACTTTTTGAGTATTTGTGTGTCTCAAATTTTACAAAGAGAAATAACTGATATAATATGATACCCAAGCGGATTATATGGATTTTCATTTTTGTATAAAACCAGAAATAAGTTTTCGTACAGTAACCTCTTCTCTCAGTGCATAATTCTGCCACATGTCTACTCTTGTCAGTGGCTAACATATACACTGACCTGACATCTTCCCGAGGCAAGGGAGTTAACCAACTATAAAAGTCCAGTTTCCACCCTTGCCGAACTAGGCTGGAATTATGGAGTTATATTTTGGCTATACATAGCCCAATCAAAGTCGCGTAATGAAATCAACATCCAATTCATAAACTGACATCCAGATTTCAGTTGATTTCAGGATTTGCAGGGCATGTGTACCGTTAAGTTAGCGTTGACATATATATTCCCAATCTTTTCATGTTTTTAATCAAGGTACTCACATGATTTGATACACTTTGAGAATTAAGATCTGTTTCATTACAATAAAGATCTTAAATATTGATCAGATCGTCTTTACTGAGGCATCGCCATTATGTTTAAAGCAAGTGATGTGATAGGTGGAATCTGACTGGTCAGTAGGAGGGACATAGAAGGGACATAACAGCCACTGGTGGTGCTATGGTCAAGCTTTGAAATTCCAGCCTTGTTCGGCCAGGGTGGAAACTGGACTTTTACGGTCAGTCAGCTCCCTTGCCTCGGGGAGACGGTGACCTGCAAGACAAATCCCAGCAATCATGAACTGTGGAAATCATAAAATAACAGCCTCCTTCTCAAAGGAATAAATTGAAAGTTTTGTCCTGTAAACTTCCTTTGGGACTCCAAAGGGATGTAACTCTGCACAGCAAATTGCAGCACCTTGGAGGACTGGGCCTATTTGTTGAGCCCAGTTTCACTGCAAACCCGGTTTGGGATGTACAAACCTAGAAGCAAAGCGCCGGTCACTCTTCCGGTAGCCGACCACCAAGCCCTCGCCCCCCCACAGACCCTTGTTGCATTCCTCGGGGTACACCACCTTCACGGGGACGTTCTGCACGCGCTCACTGAAACAGACACACAGTGCAGATATTTACTGACTTGCCATACGTCTTGCTTCTTAGACTCATACGCCAAGAAGTAAGACACAAACAAAATGAACCAATACAAACATGACCTTGAGATCTTGTTGATAGAAAATTCTACGGCATAAAAATGCAATATTTGGAAAAGGAATGTTGATTATAAGGGTAATTATTTTGAGGGATAGAACATAGCTGTCAGAAATGTGTTGCAATATGCAGTGACTGTATTGTGATTCTTATCGATGCTGGGGCTGGAATTTTGTATCGAGATTAGACATATTTTCAGCTTCAGCTGCAAAACCAGATATTTCAGTTTGGCAAGGGTGGAAACTGGACTTTTATAGTCAGTTAATGCCCTTGCCTCGAGAAGATGCAAGCATTAGTAATGTGCTATTCTTTCAGTTCATGGAAAACAAAGGTAACTACAAATTTTAGACCAGAGAAAAATATGGGATTAACGTTCATATTTCAATGAAGATTTGTGACAGAAGCACTAAGATCTATTTGGGGAACAAGGCCAAGTACAATGTCTGCAATGCAGCACATCTGCAACATACATTCTAAACAGAAAATGCCAGGAAGTGAATGAGGTGTCAGAATTGAAACATCTTGCACTTTGATATACACTTAAGTAAGACATTTCCAAGACAGATTTGTGGCATCGGGCCCCTGTCCAGTCAAACTGTCGGCAGAAAAATGTCATAATTCCCTTGTAAAGTTTCCATGCAGAGACTGAGTCTATAGTGAACAGTGTGGCGCCAGTGTTACCGTTTCCCTGTGTTGGGGTTCAGCTTGAACGGCCCTTGTTCTGGCTGCCAGTGTACAGCTGTAGGCTCCCCCTGCATGAACTCCATACACCGCCGCTTGTAGTGAGCCGGGAGCAGCTGATGGGCCTCCTTGGAGAACACGTACTTGTACGCTGCATTCCCTGAAATAATGCAATACACTTTATAATATCTGTCTCCAGAGTCATGGAGTGGTAAATCACAGGTACATTTACCCCTTTTCAATTCTAGGGCTGGGATGATACACCAACTGTGTGATCCAATATGTGAGGTGAGGTGAGGTGAAATTGGGTTTAACGTCGCATCCAAGATTATTGTACTTATATAGTGACGTGCATGCATGTGTGCACGTGTGTGCACGTGTGTGTGTGTGTGTGTGTGTGTGTGTGTGTGTGTGTGTGTGTACTAGACCGGACTGATGCTGATTTATAGTGCTAGCACACTGAGATACCATGCCGCAGTTTAACATGAATACCCCACTCAGACACAGTATACGGACTCCGAGCCGACCAGTCCTTGCTTTAACCCCTTAATGCTGAGCGCCAGACAGGGTAACAACAAGTACCATCTTTTAATGTCTTTTGGTATGACGTGGCCGGGGATCGAACCCTGGACCTTCCGCTCTCCGGGCTGACGCTCTACCACTAGACCAGGGAGGCGGTCGATGCAATGTATCACGCTACCTTGCTCATGATTAATACATATCATAATACTTGCATGTGCTCTTATCTGTGGTGCGTAAGCCATCATTTTCATAGACAGGATGGCCAAATACCTGGCACACTGACGATTTACAGATGGCAGTCTCAAGTGTGGCACATTTGATGAAAATATTGTACATTTTCACTACTACTTAGTGTTTGGTGTACCAGTTATTAAAGCAAACATTTAGGTGAGAATCAATATTTTTTACTTAGTGTGTGACTTGGAAATGGGGTTTAATGTCGCATTCAAGATTATTGCACTTATAAAGCAATGTGCATGCGTGCGTGCACGCTCTGGTACTAGTTACGAGCACTACTCTGGACTGATTTATAGTGCTAGCCCACTCAGATACCATGTCGCAGTTGAACATGACACTCAGACACAGTATTTTGACCCCTAGCTGATCAGTCCTTTTTTTAGCCACATAATACAGAGCGCCAGGCAGGGTAACAACAAGTATAATCTTTTAACATCTTTTGGTATGACGCTGCCAGGGATCGAACACCGACCCTAAACATCTCCGGGCAGATGCTCTACCACGGAGGAAGGTGATTTTTTAACCTTGGCTTTTTTTTTAAAAGTTTGAAAGCTTGCTTTTTAAAGGCCTGGTTTATCTGTAGACACATGTAGCATACAATATCGACATCACTAGGATGGCTGAGAAAACAAGAAAAACAATTTTGGGTCGGGTGCTTCAGACATAAATGGCCAGGAAACCAGGAAATACTTTTTGGGGGACCAATTGTAAAACATTTATACAGATGTTTTATCATTGTAATTTTGGTTTCTCTTAACCGTGTGAACTGATTCACTGCCTACTGAACCCCAACAATGCTGGAACAGTCTACCATGTATCATGGCACATGTTGTGTTTGTTTGTTTGTTGTTTAATGCAGCACTCAGCAATATTCCAGCTATATGACGGTGGTCTGTAAATAATCGAGTCTGGACCAGACAATCCAGTGATTGATATCATGAGCATCGTTCTACGTAAATGGGATACGATGACCCCCATCAACCAAGTCAGTGGGCCGGACCACCTGATCCCATTAGTGACAAGCATGGGTAGCTGAAGACCTATCCTAACCCTGATCTTCACTGGTCAACACTTTATGATCCTGTGATTTTCTGTATCCTTGCAAAATAATTTTGAGCCGAAGACTGAACTTGTATTTTGGAAATATTTTCAGTATTCTCAGTATATGGATTAGCATTAGCTGATCTTACAAGATCAGAAGACATTTTACTGGACTGGGATTTCGGAAACAAAATCGCTAATTGATATGGCATGTGTTCATAACTGATAACCAGTTGAAATTTCAATGGATTTCTAGTTAGACCTGATGATCTTAATTTGATGTTCTTGCAACAACTTTATTAGTTTCAATGACTGCATCCAATCTAATTTGACCCAATTCTAAATATTTATGCATACAGAACATAATATGTTATAAATAAATGCTTCTTTTAGCCAGCCATGTACAGTTATAAACAATTTGTCTTTCACCAGAGAATGCTGTGCTGGACATATTGTCCTGGGCCCACTTGCACAAAGCGATCTTAGCGCTAAGATGATCTTAACTCCCATACTTTACCATAGGCTTAAGGTAGTCTTAGCGCTAAGATCGTTTTGTGCAAGTGGGCCCTGGAGAGTAACTGATAGATTCATACTGTAAATGTTCACACTGGATGTAGATCATAAAGTCATTGCACTTGTTACAGTTTTTGTCAGTGACAAACAGCATTGATCTTCTTTAATCTTAAGGTCCCCAGTACCCCTTAAGGTGTTTGTTCAATAAATAACTGATGTACATGTAAACACAGGTTTATTCAGATTTACCGTTATATAATTATGTACAATGTCATTACACTTTCAAAGAATTCTGCAGAGAAAAAGGCTTGGTTTTTATTTTCTCTGTTTATGTTTTTAGTTGTCAGGATCTAGATTGATGCTTGGTAGAGTTTGTGTGAAATTTCAAGGCACTTTGAATTTTTTTTACAAAAGACAAGAAAAAGCAGAGAGATATGTTTGAAAGGATTTATATGGGGGAAGACTACACGAGCAATATACGAGTTAACAATGTCAGCAAAACCTGTAAAATCTTGTTATGGACAGAGGGGTGTCTCCTCAAGTCAGGTGAGACAATGCATACAATAGCATAGTGGTCTTCAGATTCATTGACCCTGTTTTTCATTTTTAACCCCTCAGTGAGCAATATTCTAGCAACCATAAAAATTGGTGGGGGGAGGGGCAGCCTAACAGTCTTCAAAACAATAACGAACATTCAGTCCCCACCCCCACCTTAGTCTGCTCTTAAAACAAGTGTAGGGTACTGGGGCAGTGGCCGAAATAACTGCCTGCCAACCTCCCCATGGCTTGTAACTTTTCTGTCATGCTGCAGGAAATTTTTCCTCCACCTGCCCGACAGATAATTTTAAGATTACTTACGTATTCTCTTAAATTATAACTTCTTGTAAATTCTCAAGTGATTGTTTGCATTACCATATTTGACGCGCCCAGGGCGCTCTCAAAATAAGAAAAAGGGGGCTCTTATTAGAATATTATTTTGGTGGAAAAAAACAGAGTTGAAAGATAAATTTTGTGGTTTATGCTGACAACCTGACTGTCTATATACAACAGATATATTTTTCCAGAATTTAATTGCCCATAATTAAGGGTGCATATAACACACGAGTGCGTATTATACACGAATAGATAAGTCTTGTGTACATTGATCAATCGGAAGGGGTGCTAATTGGGACTGTTTAATAGCCAATATCTTAGCAAATGTAGCAGTTGGCGCTTATTAGAGCGGGGCGCTTATTACGTCAAATACGGTATTTCAGCATGACCAAGACATGAGTTGTCTCTTATGTTTTGTGACTTTTCTATATATATAATGTATGAATGCAGGCAGGTAACTTTCAACATGGGCAGGCTACAGTTCAGGATCACCTGCCCGATTGTGTTGTTGGGTTTCAAAATTATTTCAAACACTGTACTGGGAACCTATTCTGATGAGGAACCCCCACGGGGGTCATAGACCAGAAACCATGCTGAGGGGGAATATGATGCCTGTCTAATAAATGATCACTGCCAAAATATGGCAATTCAATTGTTTTATCATGATTACTGTTTATAGGTTTATGTGCGGACCATTAAGTGTCATAAACTAAATTGTAATTGAATGCCCCAGGGCTAAAGAAAGCATGTGAGGATTGAGTGGCAAGTGAACTCCACACTGCATGAATCAGTACAATGCTGAAAACAGGTTGATTGTATTCAATTTAGATTACTGCAGTCATTTTTTTCAAATATTTTCAATTATATCAGTCAATACATGCTAAAACATACATATCATCTGAAAAGTTTGCTGATGTTGTTTTGGACACATTGTAAATATATGTGTTGATGGGATGGCATGCAGAAGGCAGTTTGACGTTTGGTGAGGTGAGGTGAGGCGAAATTGGATTTAGATGTCACGTTCAAGAATTAAAGTGTGTGTGTGTGTGTGTGTGTGTGTGTGTGTGTGTGTGTGTAAAAGTACTAGTCCCGACTAATGTCGGTTTTCTATAGATTTCCCATTAAGATACCATTCCACAGTGTAACATGGGTACCCCACTGACACACAGGCAGACGCTCAATCCACTAGGCTTCGGAGGTGGCCGTCTGACGTTGTGAATTCACAGACATGGGCGTGCATTAATGACACATCACTATCTGAAACGCATCTCAATGAAATTAATTGAAGGCTTAACTGCATTTCCAACGTTGTGTTTGTGAGGATGGTGTCAGATGTAGTTCTAAATTGCACTTGGCGTGTTTTTGCTACTATACATATATAGTCTGATGCCTTGGCTATCTGAAGCTGAATGAGGGGTCACTCGGACCGGGCGGGCAGAATACTCCAATGGACGTTATTATATTTAATTAGAAAAATAGCTTTCTAAAATGTTATTCCCGGATAGCAGTGACTTTTCTGAAACTATGCACTCACTAAATTTATGAATTCTCGCTGACATGTTCCTGTATGCAGTGGTAGTCGAATGTCAACATTCAACAACTCATGTCGCTCAAGGGCGCCGCCATTAAACAGTATTTACCATCAGAAATATTTTCTTTTAACATTCGTTTAGGGTATGGTGGAATTTCTCAACGCCGACCTGACTCCGACTGGGCAGATTGTATATTTTGGGTAAGTATACACTTATACACTTACACACAGACAGACACTAATCTATTTATCGCGCTAATAGTTAGCAGGTATGGCTTGCTTCAGATTTTATCAACCACAATATCAAAATAAAATTTGAGGAAGGAAACCCAGGGTATATCGACTTAACTTCAACGATTTGATCGTTGTTAAACGCCGCACTCAGCAATATTCGAGAATGGACCAGACAAACCAATCATATCTATGGACGGTCTGCAATATATGACATGTGTAATACACTGGCAAGTACATGTTTGGGACTGGAAAATAACTTCGAGACAACCGTAACTTCGACACATCAAATGTTAAATAATGAAGAATAAAGAAGGAATACGTAGGGACCAAGCTTTTACTTCGAGCAACCGTAAGTTCGACACAACGGTGTTTGACTGTATTTGAAAATGCGATGATTATTACTATTTTAGGCTAATAGGTTAACCTTTCATATCGATGTACATAATGATATAGCACATATCAACCATTATTAAATCGCACGAAAAATATTCAGAAGATCGTATCCCTCATTGAGCAACAATTATGACACAAGAAACACAAGGTTTTAATGGCGGGTAGTTCACGCGCGCCTGGTTCACGGATGTTGCAACTGAGTTCGGGGCTTTAATCCATAATTACTGACATTACAGTCATGTTACGGTAAACTTCTGATCTTCCATTCTACAAAGCGATCATAATATGTTGATACTATTGTATTACTCTCTGACATAGTTTGTTTCATCTGTCCCTTGGGCACGCCAGAAACCAAAGATTGTGGGTTCGAATCCCGATTATTTTTCTAGGTTTGCCAGCACCATACCCGTGCTCGTGGGTTTCACCGAAGTGGTAAACGTCCGAGACCTGCATCACTTCGGGCTTTCCTCCCACATTAACCTGACACGCCGTGATATAACTGGAATACTGTTAAAAGTGGCGTTAAACCCAACTCACTCACTCACTCACTCATAGCAAAATCGCAGCTATGTGACGACGGTCTGTAGAAAACAGAGCCTGGACCAGACGATCAAGTGATTGATATCATGAGAATTGATCCACACAACTGGGATATGATGACATTCATTCAACCAAATCAACGATCCTGACAACATCGGACAACATCCATTTAATGGACTCAATTATACCACAGACGTAGCACTAAGATCGATTTGCAGACCCAGGCACTCGCCATGGATAAATCCCCAAAATGGTAAAACCCGAGGATGGAATGGGAAATTGGATAGTGTTTTACGCCGCACTCAACTCAGCAGTACCACATGTATAGACCTCTTAATAATCAGTTCTGGTCCCCTCAAGCTAGTGGTTGATGTCATGAACACCGATCCCTGCCGTCGGGACACGACGACCAGCAAATCAATCACACTGTAACCATCTGATCCCCTATCTTAGTCGACACGTACACCATGGGATACTGGGGGTCTGTCGTAGCCACGGAAATATCAAGGGGGAAGTGTGACGAATATCTCGGTTTGCGTAGCCAGTACGACAGGGACAAAATTACGAAAGCCCAATGGTGCAACTTCTGTAGCATATATATATTTTTTTAATTCGAAATTTCTCGTTATTTCAATTATTTGTTTATTTTCTATTTTCTATTTCGATTATATTTTCGTAATTTATATAATTTTCTCGTTATTTAAGAAAGAGAAAGAACTCGAAATTTCGAGAAAGTTATTGTAATAACGAGAAGTTTCGATTTAAACATAATTTATGCTACCAAAAGCTTTCGTACAAAATAGCTTTAGTGCTACACTCGTCATATGGAATATATTGCTGACTGTGACATTAAATAATATTCACTCACCCTACTTTGATTCAAGACTCTCTTAATGAAGAGTTAGAATCAAATGCATTACACCAAGTAAATGACATAAATATGACTTATAAATATATTTTTTTTCAATAACCCCTTACTCCCTTACTTTAACAGAGACTTTACAAAAGTCTCAACTAAGTTAACTTTGTATCAGTTAAGATTAACATAATTGAATAATCAGTGAATTGGTTTGAATATCTTATCACCTTACTCATTTCGTCTTCATTTTAACCACTGATAGTTTCAAACGTGGCATTGTTAGTGTATGTAAATAATGTTTGAAACTATTTTCAGTCATTGTAAAAAAAGACTTCCATAGCTGTTGACGATAAAAGGGAAGTAACTCTTTGACTTTGAATAAAAATCTTATCAACGATGAATCCTTCTTTTCTTTTCTTTACATCTTTCTCCCTGCCGACCATCCTTAAATGATTTTGAGAGTTATATTTGTCTTGCGACCCGCGATGCTATGGGTTTGAAGAATATGAGTCCTTAAATCAGGGAGTCTATATTTGACTTATGTGGACTCCCTTCTGAACCAACAATCTCAAACCAGAGAGATTTAACAGCCGCTTCATCCAGTAACAACAGGCGCTTCTCTAAGGGAGATAATTCCTAACTTAGGCGGCTGAGTTGCTAGCGGTTGAAGCGTCCACACCATACATCCAATCCCCAGGTTCAAGGTTCAATAGCCCAAACGGACCATTCTTGACCCCCCCCAGCCCCACCCCCAGTCGTGATATAACTGAAATACTGCTATATTGAGCATAATGTAGAAATCCCTAAAATGGACCCTGTAAGTATCAGTTGTCACGAGATTCTCAACAGGATAAGGAGCGTTGGGGTAGCCTTGTGGTTAAATCGTTCGCTTCGTCAAGCTGAAGGCCCGTGTTCGATTCCCGACATTGGGTACAATGTGTGAAGTCCATTACTGGTGTCCCCCGCCTTGATATTGCTGGAAAATAGCTAAAGGCGGCGTAAAACAATACTCACAAGATGGCGACCATACAAAGAATCTGACAAAAAACCCCAGCCCAATTAACCCCTACAGAGCTAGAACATCACGGTGCCCGATGGTTTAAGAATTACCTGCACGATGTTTTAACCCAATTATATCTGACTCTAAATGTGCCTTAAATAAGTTTAAAATTCACACATCAACACTATGGATAAAGTTGAACACATTAATTTGCTTCAGAAAACGTATCACCCAATATAGGGTATGTGGAATTGTTGCAACACACAAACCACAAATTTAGCGCAATTTTCTAAAATATACATTTTGGAATCACACATCGTTCGTTAAATATCGTTTGTCGATTTTATGTATCTCACTCTGTTTTCTTTGACCGAATAACCGATGTCTTATATCACATCAGTAACAAACGCAATAATAGTATCAATCTCGTGCATTAATTGTATATGAAGCAAGAAACATAGGGTGAATACCATCTTCCCGAGGCAAGAGAGTTAACTGACTTTAAAAGTCCAGTTTCCACCCTTGCCGAACTAGGCTGGAATTACTGGGTTCGATCGTAGCGCCACCAGTGGCTATTACCAGTTATGTCCCTTCTAAGCCTCTCCTATGGACCAATCAGATTCCACCTCTCGTATCACTTGCGTTTGCTTCACACAAAATGGTGGCGCCCAAGTCAGGATGATCTGATCGATAATCAAGATCTATAATGTGATAAAACGGGTCTTACATCGCGAAATACATCAAATCACGTGAGCACTTTGATTAAAAACATGAAAAAAATTGGAAAATATCTGCTGACAACGAGTTGGCGGTGCACATGCTTTACATATCCTGAAATCGATCAAAATCTGCTCGACAGTTTAGGAACCGGATTTCGATTTCGGTGCGCACTTTTGATTGGACTATGCATAGACTCGTTAGTACAGCCAAACTGTAACTCCATAATACCAGCCTAGTTCGGCAAGGGTGGAAACTGGACTTTTATAATCAGTTAACTCTCTTGCCTCGGGAAGATGCTAGAATACGAACATAAATTCCATCGTTCCAAATCAGACATCGTGGTCTACTGGCGGATTGTCCGCCCGTAGTGCGGATGGTCGTGGGTTCGATCCTCGGACGCGTAATACTAACAGACGTTTAAAGATGGTACTTGTTGTTACCCATCTTCCCGAGGCAAGCGTGTCCACTAGCCTATATCAAAGTTAGCGGAAACAAGACTTTGATGAAAAGGCTAGTGGACGCTCTTGCCTCGGGAAGATGGTTGTTATCGTGCCTGGCGCTCTGCGTTAAGGGGTTAAAACAATGACTTGTCGGCTCGGAGTCAGTATGCTGTATCTGAGTGGGGTTAAACTGCGGCATGGTATCTCAGGGGGCTAGCACTATACAAATCGGCATTTGTCCGGACTAGTACAAGCAGCCACACACGCACGCACGCACGCACATGCACGTCGCTATATACGTGCAATAATTTTGGACGCGACGCTAAACCCCATTCAAATCACCTTCCCCAAAGCAGACACAACGCAACCAAAAGGATTACTGATCTGCGTCCCTGTTAAAGTCATATAAGTCTTCAAAGGTTGATGGTGGAGAGATGCTGTTGTTCGCTTCGCCGCCAGTTGTATCATCGAATATGTGTGTGTTGTTTAACGCCGCACTCAGCAGTGTGCGGGTGTCCCAAGATAAAGAACTTGTACCCAATCCCATTCACTTTGTGTGAATAAAGTATGTTTGAACCAAACTCAGCAACATGTCAGCAATATGACGGGTGACCTGTAAATATTCTGGACGAGACAAACAAGTGATTGATATTATGAGCAACGTTCCACGTCGTTGTGGTATGATGACGCGCAATCAATCAGGTCACTGACCCTGATTAGTCAATACATTTTCCACCTGATCATTTTACACGCGTCATTGGTAATTAGGTTTAAACACACAGTGCCTGTATGTAAATGTATGTTTCTTGTGCAGCAATGTACCTTTCTTCTTCATGGCGTCCTTCTTTGAATGCGATATTCATTTTGACTGAGGGTTTAGTGATTTTAGCATCACTCTTATTATGTTTGTATGTCAGATTAGACTTTT